TTCCTGCATCAGGTAGCTTCCAGGATTCTATTAGAATGCCTAGAATCTAAGATTCTCGAATTCTCAGATTCTGACACCCTATTATCCATGATTCTACAATCTTGAGGCTCAAGGTTTAGAGTTTTATGAATCCAAGACCCTAATATTCCAGATTCCCCTAGATCAAAAAACTCCAGGATTCTAACATTATCTGAATTAAATCTAAGACTTGAACCTAGAATTTTAATATTCTGGGACAAAAAGACTAGAATTTTGGCTGGGCGCGGTGGCTCATGCCTGTAATCCCAGCACTTTGGGAGGCCAAGGCGGGCAGATCACAAGGTCAGGAGTTCGAGACCAGCCTGACCAATAGGGTGAAACCCCCGTCTCTACTAAAAATACAGAAAAAAAAAAATAATTAGCCTGGTGTGGTGGTGCATGCCTGTAATCCCAGCTACTCAGGAGGCTGAGGCAGGAGAATTGCTCGAACTCAGGAGGCGGAGGTTGCGGTGAGCTGAGATTGTGCCACTGCACTGCAGCCTGGGCAACAGAGGAAGACTCCGTCTCAAAAAAAGATGACTAGAATTTCATAATTCTGTAAATCTATAACCTTAGAAATTTAACAGTCTGGGATTCAAATAGTTTAAGACTCCAGAATTCTCTGAAACTCAATATTCTAGGATACTGTGTATCAAAGATTCTAGTACTGTGAGTTTCAATATTCAGTGAATCTAGAAAGCTCTGAATTTAAGATTGTAGGATCACACTAGCCATTATGGCTATTGAACACTTGAAATGTGGCTAGTCCATTTTGTAACAGGCTATTATGTGTAAAATACAGAACAGATTTCAAAGGCTTAGTACCAAAACAAAAGTAAACTGTATCATTCATACTTATTTAAACATTGATTACATGTCAAAATAAGTTTTTGAGTGTGTCAAGTTAAATCTATCTGAATTAATTTTACTCATTCCTTATTTTTTAAATGTGTCCACCAGAAATTTAAACTTACACACGTGACTGGCATCATAATTCCTTGGGGCAGTGCTGACCCAGACTGCTAAGATTCTAATAGTCTGCGAATCTATGATTCTAGAATTTGTGGAGGCTATTGCAGAATTTCATAAATTCAAGATTTTAGGATTCTACGATTCTGGATTTCTCTGGGTCAGTCTAGGATTCAAAGAGCCTAAGTTTTGAATCTTACACTCCTCAAACGAGATATTGTCGGACTCTAGAATTTTAGGATTTGGGAGGCTACCCTTCCTAATTCTAAGAGTTGAACTTTTGGTATCAGAAGTGGAGGCTCTACACTTCCGGCCTATAGCACCCCTCACTCTCTCCTGACCCCCAGCCCCCGCCCCTCCCCAGCGTGGCCAGCCCGGGTCACTCACGGCTTGCGGCAGTGGGCAGCTGTGAGCAGCCAGCGGTCACTGATGAGGGTCGCCCCACAGAAGAGCCGGGTGAGGTGGAAGAGGCCAGCCTGCCAAGGCTGGGAGTTGGGGCGACATTCCTCGGCCCCGATGGCACGGGTGTCTGCCCAGCCATGCCCTGGGGTGGGGACGACGGACAAAGGGGTCAGCGAGGAGCAGGCTGGGAGGGCAGGGAGAGGATGCTGAGAAGCCTAAGGGGCAGGAGGCAGAAGCCTGGGACGGGAGGGAAGAGCAAGATGACCTTAGTACAGCCCTGAAGGGGCAGCCAGCCCGGAGCCTCACCTGCCAGCAGAGAGAGCAGAGCACAGAGGAGTCCCAGCTTCATGACCCCTGGGCACCTGGATCCTAGAACGTGCACCCGGCGCCCAGTGCTGCTTTATGGTAAGCCATGCCATCTCCTTCCTCCTTCATGGGGCCGCCCCTGTGATTAATCGGGATTGGGAAATGTCCCTGAGGGAGGGGGAAGCCCTGGGGCTGTGACAGGGGCCTTGGGAGAGGAGGTAAGTGCAGGGGGACCCCCTTTTGGGATGAACTGGTGGCTTGCTGGGCCAGAGCTTGACTGAATGGAGGAGGAGTGCTGGGGGTGTGGAGAGGTTGTGGGCACCTCCTCTGGGGTCTTCAGAGTGGGAACCCTCATTCCTCATCACCTTAGGCTACAAGATACAGAATCTTTTGTGTCCTGGAAAAGTAGGAAGATCCTTGAGGCCTAAGGTCCTGGGGCGCAGCAGGTTTATTTTGGATAAAGCAGTGGTGTGCAGAGACCAACCTCCCAGAGCGGGCTGGAGGGATGTGCAGGAGGACCACCAGAAAGCAGGCTAGGGGTGGGAGACAGAGTCAGGACTCAGACACAAGAGCAGAAGATACAAAGAGAGGGAGGTACAGGCACAGAAGGACCCCAGGTGAGAGGAGGAGCGGGAGGAGGAGAGAGAACACGAGAAAGATTGAAGGAAACCCAGGTGGAGAGAGGCAGAGACCACAAGGCAGCTGCACAGGTTTACACACCTCTCAGAACCTTCCCTGCCCTGGGGATTTGGGCCTCTTCCCACAAGGACAAGGCCCTCTCCTAGAATGTTGAGAAATCTAGTTCCATCTGGATTAACCCACTCTTGTCATAACCTGCCCCCTTCCCCACAGCTCCACCACCCAAGGACCCAGCTGCCCAACCCTCCAGGAAGCAAGTGCCTTGTGCTCTCTCTTAGTACATCCTGATCTTTGCCAAATCCTGAGAACATTTGCTATGTATCTTTTTCATCCATCTCCCTGTCCCCAACCCCATTGTCCTTTCCATCGCCTCATCCTCCCTGCCTCTCTCCTCATCATTCCTTCTCACCAGGTGGACAGCTTCTGGAGGGCTGGGCTCAGGTCTGAGTCATCTCTGTGTCCCAGCATCACCCAGTTCCAGGCGGAACAGGACTTACAGAAGTCCTCAGGAGATGTTCATTGAATGAGTGAATGTCTTTCTCCATATCCTTCTTTTCCTAGTGAACTCCTACTCACCCTTCAACACCCAACCTCAATGCTCCCTCCTCCAGGAAATCTCTGGTTTCCTCAGGCAGAGTCCATCTTTGCCTCCCCTGGGCACTTACAATCCCTTCCACTTTCTCCTGCCCACAGGCCTGGTTATGAAGCTGGGTCTGGGCTCCCCTTGAATGTTCTCTCACTATGTTGCCATGGTTTGGAGCACGGACTCTGGAACTGAACCACATGTGTCCAAATCTCAATGATTAGGTGTGATTAGTGATGAGGTGTGTGACTTTGGGCAAGTCACCAGACCTCTCTGTTTGCTCCATCTGTTTTTTTTGTTTTGTTTTGTTTTGTTTTGTTTTTGTTTTTTTGTTTTTTGTTTTCCAAAATAGGGTATTGCTCTGTCACCCAGGCTGGAGTACAGTGGCACGATCTCAGCTCATTGCAACCTCTGCCTCCTTGGTTCAAGCAATTCTCCTGCCTCAACCTCCCAAGCAGCTGGGACTACAGGCGTGTGCCACGATGCCCAGCTAATTTCTGTATTTTTAGTAGACCTAGGGTTTCACCATGTTGGCCAGGCTGGTCTCGAACTGTTGACTTTGTGATCCGCCCGCCTCAGCTTCCCAAAGTGCTGGGATTACAGGAGTGAGCCACCGCGCCCAGCCTGCTCCATCTGTTAAGTAGCAGTAATAATGAGGGTTGTTGTGGGGATTAAGCACATTTACACACATGGAGCACAACGGTGTCTGACACATGGTAAGCCTTCAATGTCTATCCATCCCCTGCAGAAACCTGCGGTGCCTTTATCATAGCGCATTTCACCCTTGCCTGCAGTTGTCCCACTCCCTTTCCAGACAGGGAAGCCCTTGAGATTGGGGACTGGGTATCCAGTATGTGCTAAGTGCCACCTTAACTGCTATTAAGAGCATTTTAGACCAGGTGCGGTGGCTCATGCCGGGCGCAGTGGCTCACACCCGTAATCTCAGCACTTTGGTGGGGCCGAGGCGGGTGGATCACTTGAAGTCGGGAGTTCAAGACCAGCTTGGCCAGTATGGTGAAACCCCGTCTCCATTAAAAACACAAAAATTAGCCAGGTATGGTGGCAGGTGCCTGCTATCCCAGCTACTCAGGAGGCTGAGGCAGGAGAATTGCTTGAACTTGGGAGGCGGAGGTTGCAGTGAGCCTAGATTGTGCCATTGCACTCCAGCCTGGGCAACAGAGCGAGACTCTCAAAAAATAAATAAATAAATAAAAATAAGAAATAAAAAAAGAAAAGAAAAGAAAGAAAGAAAGAAAGGAACATTTTAATAGCTACCTTTACCAACTGTGTTATCAGTGCTTGGTGTTAGGTAAACTTTGCATGTATATTACCTCATTTAATTATTATTATTATTATTTTTGACACAGGGTCTCTGTTGCCAAGGCTGGAGTGCAGTGGCATGATCATAGTTCACTGCAGCCTCAATCTCCTGGACTCAAGTAATCCTCCTGCCTCAGCCTCCTGAGTAGCTAGGACTACAAGGTGTGCACCACCATGCAGGGCTAATTTTTTTTTTTTTTTTTTTTTTTTTAGTAGAGACGAGGTTTCACTATGTTGCTCAGGCTGATCTTAAACTCATGAGCTCAAGCATTCCACCTGCCTCAGCCTCCTAAAGTTCTGGGATTACAGGTGTGAGCCACTGCACCCAGCCTATCTCATTTAACTCTCACGAGAGTCTAATTAAGCAGGTGTCTCCATTTCACAGAGTGAAAACTGAGGAAGACAGAGCATTCAAGTAATTTGCTCAAAGTCATACAGCAAAGTGATTGAAATGCATTTCCTTCTCTACCTGGTGAACTCCTACTTATCCTTTAAACTCCTACACAAATGTCCCCTCATTGAGAAGCCTTTCCTGACTCCTTCAGGCACAGCCTGTGGACTTGATGTGGTGCACCCCATACCCCCTTCTGTTACAGCACTGATCTATTTGTGTTGTGTTCACATAGCAATGGGGGTGACTTCTGTGTGCCGGGCACAATGCAGGTGCTTAGAAAATCACAGTGAGCAAATATCTGAATCACTGCCCTCACAGAATTTGTGGGGAAGGGTGACATAGACCATTATCAAGTAAACATAAATGAGATAATTTCAGGTATAATAGGTGCTATAAAAAAATAAACGGAGCATCAGGACTGGGTGACCAAAAGTGGACTCCTCTAGCCTGGGCAATTCAGGAAGGCTTCCTGGAGGAGGTGACTTTTGAGTGACACCCGAATGACAGGAATGTAAGGCTGGCCTGTCTCCCCGACCTAACTAGCAACTCCTTGAGGGTAGTGCCTGGTCTGATTCATCTTTGAGGCCTGGCATAAGACGTGGCTCAATAAACATTGTGGAGTGACTAAAGGGATGGGTGAGTTGCCTTTAAAAATGAATCGAGTTTTCAAGTTTGCACTGACCTCGCTTCTGATCCTTGGATGACAAACCCAGCTGATATGACTGACTGACATTTCCTGGGTGTGCTAATGGGGGCAGAATGGGAAAGAGGCCACGGAAGGGAGCTATGTACCAGACTCTGTGCTCAGACTTTGTACATCAACCTCCTGTGGGCTTTGCAGCGGGAGGGACCTTGTGATCACCCCTACGTATGTCCGCAGCACCCAGCACTGGGCCTGGCACATACTAGATGCTCCATAAATTGGTGACTGAAAGGACAAACAAACCAGTGCTTAATGGGAAATTTCTATTGTGCCTATATTCAGCTAGCTTATGTTACTGCTTCAAAGTTCAGGATAAGCTGAGACACTCAAACTTCTTCTTTTTTTGAGAAAAAAAGAGTTTCGCTCTTTCATCCAGGCTGGAGTGCAATGGCGCAATCTCGGCCCCCTGCAACCTCCGCCCCCCAGGTTCAAGTGATTCTCCTGCCTCAGCCTCTCAAATAGATGGGATTATATGCCCGGCTAATTTTTATATTTTCTGTACAGATGGGATTTTGCTATTTTGGCCAGGCTGGTCTTGAACTCCTGACCTCAGATGATCCACTTTCCTCAGCCTCCCAAAGTGCTAGAATTACAGGCGTGAGCCACCGCACCCAGTAGACACTCAAACTTCTATTAGCTTTACCTGGACTCTGTGTATTAACTCCCCTCCCCGCCCCCAATTTCAGAGAGAGTCAAAAAATTCCTCCTCCCAAGTTTTCAGGACGAAAATCTCACGGCCAATTAATAACAGACAAACCAAAGATTTTTCCCCTAAATGTCAGAGGGAGGTTTCTTGGCACAAACTTGGCAGTTGAGGTGGCAGGAGTTCTCCAATCTTCACTATCCCCTCAGTCCTCTGGTCTTAGAGGCTAGGATGGAAGCAAGGTGAGGTCCCTTGAGTTCTAGCAGCCCCATGAAGGCAGAGAAGGTGCTATATGACTCACAGCCAGCCTAGTGCCTACCAAGACAGGAGGAACTGGTGTTGGGTGGAACCAGAAGTGGGAAACAGTGGGAGATGAGAAGGAAGTGGTTAAAAGGTGGTTCCTGGGACTTGGAACTAGGGTGGGGAAAATGATTCTTCCATCAGCCCTAAGGGATGGGGATGCAGGGTTGGGATTGGGGGCTACCCCGTGCACTTCTTCCCTGGAAATGCTCTCACTGGGATGTGGTCAGATCATGACAACAGGTAACCTTTAGTCAGAGCTCCCCATCTACTGTGTTAAGCCTTACATGACAATCACCATGAAGATTTACATACACATGTTATATCATAGTCTCCTCAGAACATGGCTAAGAGGTAGGCACGTCATTGTTCCTATTTTGCAGATGAGGAAATCGAGGTTCAGAGAGGGCACTTGGCTTGCCCAAAGTCACACAGCAGGGAGTGGCAGAGGAAGTCAGGTTGGGTGACCCCAATAACTGCTCTCAGAGACTGGGCGATGACCGGCTTCCTTGCTTTTCTGGAATAATGCTTCTCTGCATTTCAGCTTCAGTTCAGTCAGAGAATGGGGATGGGTGGGGGAATGAGGCGAGAGGAGAGATGTTTAGCGGCGTGGAGGGCAGCAGAGGTTTGAGCAGTGCAGACAAGGGGAGAGTTCAGCCGACCGGGGAGGAAGAGGATGGACGACGGAGCCTCTGGGCATCTGGATCAGTTGGAGCGTATGACTTTATTGATCCAGGACATATATTTGCAGATCTGGGTGTAGACAGCTGGATGCTGGGCAGAGCCGCAGGGGTAAACACCCCATGAGAGGATGCCTTGGAGGGTCTCATCACAGACCAGGGGGCCTCCTGAGTCACTCTGGGGGTGGCAGGAAGGAGAGATCAAATAAATGTGCCAACATGAGAACTGTCACTTTGGGATCTGGGGCAAAAGTGATCCCAGAAGGATCACTGGTGAACTCCTACTTATCCTTTAAACCCCTACACAAATGTCCCCTCATTGAGAAGCCTTTCCTGACTCCTTCAGGCACAGCCTGTGGACTTGAAGGTGGGGAAGGAAGGGGTTGGGTTGGGATAAAGACGAAGTTGGGATGGGGTTGGAATTAGGTATGAGGCTGGAGGGTGAGAATGGAGGTTGACTTCAGGTTATGGGGGGTTGACTGGGGGATGGGAATGAAGACGCAGTAAGACTGGGGTTAGGATTGTAGTTCATGGAAGGTGAGGGGATGGAGACTTGGAAATGGGGATGGGGTGGGGTTAGGATGGAAATGGGATCCAGGTTAGGGATGAGGAGGGGGTTAGGACTGGGAAGGAGTTGGGGTCAAGGATGGGTTTGGGAATGGAGTTGGGGAGCGGGGACAGGATCTGCTCTTTTCCCATAACCTCCCTGTCCTCCCCTCCCAGGAGTCAGAGACTCTCCTTGTTCAGACCCTACCTGGCAAGGGTCCTGGCCCCGGTCCAGTCCGGCACATATCATGTTGTTGGTGACCACGCCAGGGTAGAAGACCTCACACTCTTTAGGGCTCAGGATAGTGACGCTGGAGCAGGTCAGGCCCTTGTTGTACTTCACTAAAGGGAGAATATGCCAGTAATCCCTGGGTCCAGCCCCCAATCCTTGGGGAGCCAGGAATCCAGATACAAGACTGTTTCTATCCCAGGCCCCAGCTCCTCCTCCTTCAGACTCAAGAATCCTGGCCCCAGCCCCTCCCCACTTAGACCCAGGAGTCCAGGTCCCCAGCCCCTCCTTCCTTCAGACCCACAGACCCAGGCATCCAGGACCCCAGTCCCTCCTCCCTCAGACCCAGGAGTCCAGTCCCCAGCCCGTCCTTCCTCAGATCCAGGGGTTCAGGCCCCCAGCCCCCTCCTCCTGAGATTCCAGCCTCAGGGCCCCAGCTCTTGCCTCTCCGGGCGGCCGTGGTGCCCCAGCCAGCGACCTGGCACTGGTCTCCAGGCTGGGCACAGTGGTAGGGAAGCTGCAGGGCCCGGACGCGGGGCCCCGGCACTACGGGCCTGGCCAGCTTCAGCAACATGAGGTCGTGCTCATCTGTTCGCCTTGGCAGGATGGGGCCTGAGCCCTGGTGGTACTTGGGATGGACAACAGAGCGAGTGGTCCGGCGGAGCTGCTCGCCCTGAAGAAGCAGCAGGTGGTCATCCCCGACTCGAGCCCACAGTGGCCTGGGGGGAGGAAGAGGCATGTGAAGGCAAACCTTTCATAGGGACTGGGAAAGCGGGCGTGGGCAGTGGGGTGAGGGCAGATACTGGGGCCCAGAGATAGGAGGGGTCTGAGGGAAGAGGGTCTTGGGGGAGAATCAGACCTCAGTGGACGTGGAGAGGAGAAATCAGATGTTTGAGCTTCAAGGATCTGCAGGAATTGAGGGGGCTGGGGGCCTGGACACCTAGGTAAGCCTTCCACATTTCCTTTTATTTGTTGAGACAGAGTTTTGCTCTTGTCACCCAGGCTAGAATGCAATGGCTTGATCTCGGCTCACTGCAACCTCCACCTCTCAGGTTCAAGCGATTCTCCTGCCTCAGCCTCCTGAGTATCTGGGATTACAGGCGCCCGCCACCACGCCCAGCTATTTTTTGTTTGTTTGTTTTCTGTATTTTTCGTTGAGACACGGTTTCACCATGTTGGCCAGGCTGGTCTTGAACTCCTGACCTCAGGTGATCCATCTGCCTTGGCCTCCCAAAGTGCTGGGATTACAGGCGTGAGTCACGGCGCCCGGACCTACTCCACATTTTCTCTGTGATAATACCCAGCCCTTCCTCCTTCAGTGGGGACTCACGAAGTGAACCTTTTCCTTTAGTTCTAAATTCCTGACCACACCGCACCCTGGCTTCTGTCTGTTGCGGGCAACCACCTCCTCCGAAAGCTCAAGGAGAATCAGCGGGACAAGAGTGACGGGCCCAGAAATGCGGAGGACCACACCGCCCCCTGGCGGCCACAGCGCAAGCCCTGTCTCTCCTCCTGCTGGAAGGACACCAGGGACCGCACCTCCAGCTGTGGGAGTTCCGAGTGCCCCGGCCCTGCCCGCTCCTCCCTGGAGGCCGCCTCCACAGCCCCCCCGTGGCGTCCTCGGGGATGGATCTCCTCCTACTTGTTCCCGCAGTGCGCGGCCGTCAGCACCCAACTCTGGTCCACCAGGACACCCGCGCAGTGGAACGAGAGGCCGTTGAAGAGCGAGACCTGCCAGGGCTGCGAGCCTCGCGCGCACGGGGCGCCGTAGGCTGCGGGGTCCAAGCGCGTGTCGTTTTGGGGAAGCAGCACCGCCTCCGCGGCTGGAGAAAGAAAGGAGATAGGATCAGAGCACGGAGGGCAAGGGCTGGGTTTGGGGTCGGAGCTGGGCTGTGAGACTGGACTGCGTTCGGGGACGGGGGACGCAGCCAGAACGGGAGGGTGGTAGGGAAATATTGGGGGTTTCGCGTGCACCGAAGGGAATGGGAGGAGAAGAAGTGCGTGAAAGTGGAAGGAAGCTGGGATAGGGTAGCGTGGAGTAATGAGACAGAGTAGGATGGGTCTGGAGGGCGGGAATGAACGCAGCGTGCCTAGAGAGCTGGCTAGAACGCCGCAGGTTCTAGATAGAGGGGCGGGGATTGAACGCGGCAGGGAGGTAAGGGAGAGGGGATAGAACTCGGGGAGCAGGGAGGAGAAGGGGTGGGAATAACAAAACGGGATTGAAAACCGGGAGAGGGGCGGGGCGCAGTGGTTTACGCCTGTAACACCAGCACTTTGGGAAGTCGAGGCAGTTGAACCGCTTGACCCCGGGAGTTCAAGACCAGCCTGGGCAACACAGTGAGACCCAGTCTCTACACACACACACACACACACACACACACACACGTCAGTCGCGGACGCATGCGCCTGTAGTCACAGCTACCTGGGAGGCTGAGGTGGGAGAATCGCTTGAGCCCAGGAGGTGGAGGTTGCAATGAGCCGAGATTGGGCCACTGCACTGAATCTGGGCGACAGAGTGAGACCCTG